TCTCAATCTGCTTCATTCTATCTCTTTCCTCCGATTCTGCATTATTTGTTGGTTCAATCCAAAACCTTATGCTCTCTCTGCTTTTTCTTGTCATAGTGGCTTCATTCACTCTGTTTCTGTCTGTTTGTAAGTCCATCCTGGAATACAATATCAGCAGGGCTGCTGCCATTAACACCTTTGTTTACAATGTATATGTCGAACTTTGGCCTGTTTCTCAGTGTAGCCCTGTTTCTTTTAATGTGACTAGCTGTATGTCCTCTCTTTCATCTCGTGACATGGGAACTGATTGGAGCTCTGGCTGTATCTTTCCTGGACAGGTCCATCTCAGGAAAAAGGCAACTGTTACCCTTTGTATATCTTCTTTTTTTCTGTATGTCTGCTTCTATCTCTTTAAATTCCAGTCGGCCTCAGCAAAAGGCCGCTCACACTAAGCCTAGTTTTGCCGGAGTTTCTTCCCTAGAGGAGAGTTTCAGTAGAAAGGTATGTATGTTTTTCTTTACTGGGTAGTTCAGAATGAACTATGTAACTTACTTAGTGTAGTGTCCTCATATAGGACATGGTTCATGGGTAAGTGCAAACACAGTCACTTAAAGTGCTGTCCGAATAGTGTTAGCAGTTAGGAAGGAGCTAGGATCAGGAAACAGTCTGCTTCCAATGCAGTTAGCACACACAAGGGACCTCCTGACATTAATAGCCATTGCTAAGTTCTGTAAAATTGCTCACAGGATGACAGGATGCATTCACACGGCACACCTCACAGTGTCACAGAAATCCATTATTTTTTCACATGTACTCTGTTTGACACATGCTAAAGTCCTTATCTTCACGTGTTTGGACGTTTTATAACGGAGCTTCAGCAATTCTCTAAATCTGTGTAACTTTTAATTTTTATTTTAGTCCTTTTCTTTACAGGTAAAGTCTGGTCACATTAAGAATACAAACTTCTAAAAGTACCTTAAGCATGAAATTATTACATACTGTTCAATAAATTATAAGTTGTCTTTTTTTTTAAACTAAGAGTAATTTCATGTTTGTCAAAGAGCACTACTGCCACTACTGTGTTATCGACTGTTGAGCAAGTCCCAGTGCTGTATCTGGTGTTTGTCACAATGCACTATTATCCATGATGCAACGACCAGTGCACTAAGCTAAGCAGAGACTAACGGATTGATGACGTGTTTTTTCTCTGGCCAGAAGTTCGATGGCAAATCCTCCTTCTTCAAGTTGGCAAGTTGATCCTCCAACGACAAACCCATCTTTGGAGGATCATGAATCGGAAAGTTGAAATAACACTTTTTTTTTTCCACTTTTACCTGATGTATTCCAACATCCAACTGCCATGCATGTGGACATTGTCAGTTTCACTATAGCTCTGGTGAATTTCAATGGTGAACTCCTCTGGAAATCTTCAATAATTGTTGTTGATTGCAGATGTGTCTAGTGGTTCACCATTGATTTTCTTGTAAAGCGGGGAGAATGGCACTAGGCTTACCGCACCGTGACGTCACTGCTGGAAGATGTCAGGAGTGAGGTGTTACTATATTTGGGCTAAAATGTCTGTTCCCGGGATCATTGACCGCAACGAAAAATTGTTACATTTTTTTACTGATTAACGCTAAATTCATTAAATCACCGTGAACCTGATAGTTTTATAAATAATGATCCACTGTTTATTCCTTGCTGGCCAGACTTTTCATTTAAAGCTGTAGTCTTAATTTCACCAGCGTGATTCATGTGTTTTTCCACTACGTAATTATGGCCGTAAGAATGAAGGCTGTCTGGATTCAGCTCTGCACTCCGGAGATCATTTCTTACCCTGGATAGTGCTCTTGCTGTTGACCCCATGGAAGGATAAGGAATAGGAGCTAGGACAGGGGGC